TTATATGTCGGTGGTGATGATGATGATTGTGATGAGGATGATGAGAATGATGGTGAGGATGATGAAGAAGACGATGATGAATATGACAACATAAATAAGACTATTAAACTGTTTACGGGGAAACTTGAAATGAAAAAGATATCATGATATTGATATCAGATACCATGATACCACAAACTTGATATATCGATAGACAGATGATGAAATGAGTGATACCGATACAAGGTATCAAGGTACCATCAGCTGAAATTATGACCACAGGCAGATGATGGAATGAGTGATACTGATACCAGGTATCAAGATACCATGAGCCGAGAATATGACCACAGACAGATGATAGAATGAGTGATACTGATACCAGGTATCAAGATACCATGAGCCGAGATTATGACCACAGATAGATGATAGAATGAGTGATACTGATGCCAGGTATCAAGATACCATCAGCTGATATTATGACTACAGACAGATGATGGAATGAGTGATACTGTCATTATAGATCATGATACCATGAATATGATATAACGGTGAGATGAATGGTTGCTATTATGAAAAACTGACGATTCTTTTTAACATATACGGACAAACTGGGCAGGGCATGTTGTACTGGACATAAACTGAATACAACTATAAAAAAATGCTTCTTAAAAAAATCTCGAAAATATCAAGCAATAATATTATATAATAATATATAATAATAATATATAATACAAATATAATAATATATATTAATATATTATATAATAATATATATTAATATATTATATGGGAACATCCTTTTATTTTTTAACTCCAAATACCAAATATTAATAATGAAATAATTATAAAATCCTATTTAATCTAATAATAATCCTATTATTATATTTTTATTATATATTATATAATAATATATAATAAAAATATAATAATATATATTAGTATATTATATAATAATATATATTAATATATTATATAATGATAATATATAATAAAAATATAATAATATATATTAATATATTATATAATAATATATATTAATATATTATATAATAATAATATATATTATTATAATGCAATAATAAAATAATGCAGGTAGGTAGGTAAATTAACAATATCAACAATTTTTTTCATAAAAATGTCTTAAATGTTTAACACTATTTGTTATAATATTAATAATAATGATAATAATACACATACATACATACACACACACATATACATACATACAAACATACCTACATACATACATACATACATACATACATACATACATACATACATACATACATACATACATACATACATACAAACATACATACATACATACATACATACATACATGCATACATACATACAAAGAAGCTTGTTCAGATCCAATGCATGGCTGGATGGAAGTATGGCAGTTCATTGATAACTCGAGCACTTGCTACGTGTCAGCCATTCACAAAGCGCCATCTATCGATCTTACGACCCGCATTATTTTATTTTGTTTTACATCTCTTCCTCCTTCCCCTTATGTATATTTTGTTTTCCGTTAGTCTTTTTCACTTTCTTTCTTTCTGCCTGTCTTTTTTTTCTCTCTCTCTTTGAGTCTCTCTCTCTCTCACACTCTCTTTCTCTTTCTCTCTCTATCTATCTATCTCTCTATCTATCTATCTTATTCTCTCTCTCTCTCTTTTTCTAGCTTTGCCTTTATTTTTCTGTATCTTCTTTAGCGTTTTCTGTCCTGATACCGTCAAATCTTTTTATCTTTTTTTGTTTAATCTCTCTTTCTCTTTTTTATTCATTCTTTCATCTTCTTTTTACTTCTTTTTTTACTGTCCTTTTCTTCTCTTTTATTTCTCTCTATCTCTCTCTATATCTCTCTCTACCTCTGCGTCTCCTATGATTGTTCATTAATCACCTCATTTGAACACTTAGAAGAGGGAAGAGTTTCATATCCTCTCACAATTTTTCTCCTCAACTTTATCTTTAATCTTCCTTCTAGTCCACAGAAATTAAATTAATGAAAAAAAAAAGATTTTTTAAAATGACAAATATAAATCGGCAAATTAAAAACAAGCGATTGCATTGATTATATACGTAACGCACATATAACGCTTATAAATTATCACGTACTTACGCACACACATATATATAGAATATTCCGCATAGAACTTAAATACATTTGCACGTACAAACATATATTTACAATATTTTCAGACAGTTGACACATTTTTATCACCACTTTAAACGCATGGATTACAAATTGCAATAAAAAAATAAAATTCAAAAAAATATATGTATGTAAGTGAGCTACACTTGAGCCACAATGAAACAAGTTTTAGTTTTTCCAAACAAAAAATTATTCTCAATGCAAAATAAAGGAAAAAAAATCAGTTTATCAAAAAAAATATTTGACCATGTTGTTCATACAGGGTAACGTATAAACGACGTAACATTTAAAAGTGTTAGCCTCTGCGAACTTTCGAACCCGGTTCGTTTGGCTTCAGTCACAAAATACCGCGTGTCAAACAAACATCTAGACTATTTCCATCCTTCTTACACCGCCCGTTGGCCGTGAGCCACTACTGCTGAACTGCTTGCGACCTAGAGAGTTAAATTTTTAGTCAATCATTTTTTAATTAATTATTTTTTAATTATGTTTTTAATTTAATTTTTAATGACATATAATGATTTATCAATAATGAATTTAAAAAGGTCACATTAATTAATTGAAAAATTTTCATCTGTTCGTTCAAACCTTGAGATTGAATATTAACTGAAATTGAAAGGATCAGAAAAGAATCAAATTAAGACCGTCTAGACGTGATTAAATTGTATAGAAATAATTATTATATATAATAATAATTAAAGTAGAATGAAATTAAATAAGTAAAAATAAAAACTAGCATATCAATTTATGTAAAATTTTATAAACATGCTTTTTAATCCAAATGAAAATAAAAATTAAATTAAAAAAAACAATTTTAAAATTAACAAAATCGAATAAACTAAATTGATCAAAAAAAAAAAACTAAAATACCTATGACTAACTCATGTCATCAAATTCGACCACATCAAATAACATGCTCCTCGAACTGACCAGGTTTCTCGGACATAAGTCTCCGTTCAGGGCTGTAGTTATTCCACAGGCCACACAAAACTTCCCCGGCTGCCACCTCGCCCATGTTAATTCCGATCAATCGGATGATAAACATACCATCCCTGCGGAGATAGCACTCGGTGAACTTTGACAAAACACCGTGCTCCCTCTGCTGTGTCGTGTCGAATGCCCTGATGTGCTTCCTCACGTATTGAATCTGTCCCGGCCAATACAACGCCTTGAAGAGCCATTGAAAGAAGTTTATTAGGGTAACCCCGGCCACAAAAACGTACCAGAACCAGACGAAGAAAAAAATTTTTTCATTGAAGAGGTTGATGGTAAGAGTACACTGGACGATGTATGATAAGATTCTCGACTGAAGCCTCATATCAAATTCGCATAACGTAACGCGTGGAAAGTTGTTGGACCAGGTCCAATCCTGTCCTCGCAACAGACGCTCCAGGATGTAAACTCCGTAGAGATGGAAGTCACTGACGAGTAGAACATCTAACAAGAAGAGCTGACCAATGGCGTTGATTATGTACAAGAGTTTGATGAATAAGTAGGCAGATATGAGATAGTTGCCATACAGGCGCCCACCAATAATACAACACAGTTTGGCAACGAAATGTTTCACCCTGACGCAACAACCAGTCCTGTGGTCTCTCTGAGCCATCAAGTACCGATCCATCTGGTTCACCACGTACCTCACTGCTTTCTCACGAATCTCCAAGTAAGCGGCTTCCGAACTGACATGCGCTGCGTCCATTACAGTGCTCAAATTGATTCCGGACCTCTTGTTCATGAACCGCCAAATTTGGCAGGGAATGAAGGAGAGGACTCCTTGGATGATCAATATGAACGGGACCCACTGGTAGTAGCTGATCTTCTGATTGTCACGCGTCGTCATGTCCAGCCTCTCCGCGGGCACGATGCTGTCGATGGTGACGTAGTATGTGTTGCTCACCCAGCAGACCGCATTCGTGTAGTCGACGTGGCTCGATGTGAACTCGGCTGGACACCAGCAGTTGATGGGGGTGCCGACGAACTGCTTCGTACTGACCAGAAATGCGAAGAGGACCATGAGGACGACGGTGTATTGGCGACTCAAGCGATCGATGTAGTCGTCATCTACGTGGAATTTCAACTCGCGGATGCTCAAAACTGACTTGAAGAGTCGGTCCATGGTGATTTTACTTTGGATTAAAACTGAATAATTTTTATTTCAGATTATTGGTTGCAGCGTCTGTCGGACTGTTGAACTCCTTACAGATATACAGTTCCTATCAAACGCGATTGTAGTTGCAGTCAAAGCGGTTGTAGTTGCTGTCAACGCGATTGTAGTTGCAGTCAAAGCGATTGTAGTTGCAGTCCGTGTGTGATGATTTAATTTTAACTATCTGCAGTTGATAACATTCTCCAAAATGAATGCTTGTGTAAAGTAATAAAAACGAGGTGAAAAATATTTGGCAAATTTTTAAGTCTATCGATAAATGCTGTGTTATAAAATTCTGTAGTATTGAGATCTACAGTGAAAAGAGCTGTAGTTTTTTCGCATCAAGAAACTTTTAAAGGCTTGATGGGATTAACATCAAGGATCGGCTAACACTGTTAAGTTGTATGTCACAATTTCAAAATCAAAATTTCACTTTTTTGTTGCAGACATAACTGTCATTAATTTTAACCAGACTTATTGTAGTTCTTGCTGCATGACCCTTGTTCTAAAATCTTCTGAGTTTTTCCTTCACTCGTAACTGTTTCAATAAGGTTTAAAAATCTGAATCGAGTAGCTTGAAATTTTAAATTAATTATACAATAAAATAAATCATTAAGTAAATATTTGCACCTTAAACAGTGAAGAAAACCAGTCTCATTGAAATAAAAAACAGCTCACTAAAACTAAATTATAAGCCACCAAACCTTTATACATATATCCACATATATATACATATATACACAAACCTATATACCTATACACACACACACACACACACACACACACACACACACACACATATATATATATATATATATATATATATATATATATATCTTATATATATTTTTATATATATTTTGGTCCCTTAAATCTTCATTTGAATAACCATTTAATGGAGAGGTCTTACAGTACAAAATTTTTGGGTCTAATTATCTCAGATAATTTATCTTGGGCTGAACATATTAATACTATTTCTTATAAATTAAGCAAAAT